AAAGTCGTATTTTAGTATAATAAAAGTTGTACTTTTATCTAATCTTAATAACTTATTCTTAAGACCTTTGTTTTTCTTGTTAGAAAATAAGCCCAGAATTGAGGAATGTGCTTTTATCGTCTAATTATTTCTAGCTCAAATCATAATTTCCGGCTTTTTTCTAGTATTGTGTTTAAAGAATTAGACATATCTCTTGCGAGTCATTATTAAATCCGATGAATATTTTGTAATTTATTAGTTAAATTAAAATTAAAACAAAAAGTTGTTTTAAGTTACTCTTATTAAAAAATTCTCAATAATATATTTTACTGATACTATTTGATTTCGACGGCAAACGCATTAAATCGCCAAATCATGAAATAAAACCCGCCAAAGTAGCCAAACTAAGAGTAACCACTTTCACTTTTAGTTCCATTTAGGCTTTGCAATCAAATCACATAACATAGTAACTAATTTTTTTTTACATTTAAACATTGAAAAAAAATGTTGATGATTTTTAATTTACCGAGGAATGAAGAAGATGCCGTTCCGTTTTTCCAGGAAAAGGAGTAACTATCCCGATATCGAATGTGTGCAAATGGTCACGAAATTAAACTCTATGTGAATGAAAGCTTGTGGAAATGCAATGTGAAAAGTCGTCAACAAAAAAAAAGCATCTTTTCACCTTAGAAAAAAAGAAGCACGGTTCGTCATCTTCTAGAGTCTTATCTTGCGGAATTCATATGGTGAAAATCCTATGGGAAAGACAAGCCCTATGATTTATGATTGAAAGCAATCACGGAGACATGGAAGCCTCAAACTAAAAGCGAATAATTCTAGCTTGGCGTTATTCTTGGCATCGTTTTAATTGTGGTCGCCGTACAAATCAAGTAGTAACATTTTACTTTGCCAAGTATATATTTCGAAAAAATTATTTTCTATTTTAATTTATAGCGATGGAGGAAAAAAAATAGTTCGTTGGCAAAATATTTTGTACCGTAGTTTCTACAACTCCGCCAAGTTTTTCTTGTCTTAAAATATAGTACCTTATTGGGTACTTGCACTTCAAGAAGAAGGAGATTACGGAGTCCCACACATTTAACCAATGACGTCTGCACCAGCTGACTGTTTATAAACAAAATGAATTTTTAAAGTGTAGCTAAATTTCTCCACATAAGTTAGAATATTAATTAACGTGAAGTGAATTAAATACAGTGCCCTATCGCTCATCAAATTTGTTGAAATATACTTCTTTCTTGTCTACGTCTTTTCTTAACTTTGGTTCATTATTTGTTTATGTATTTTATTGAAACAGTGATATATTTTTGTTTTGTGTACCTGGCTACTTCGATGCATAATTAGATTGTTTATGTTCTACATGATTTTATGCCTGTCTTTGTGTTAAGTAAGATATATATAGGGAAATAATTGAAACTTATCTGAAGTAATCTTTGCGAAAGAATATAGAATGTGTTACTTAAGAAAATGGATGCTCGAGTGGCTTGGCTTACTCGAAATAGAATGAAAAGAACTGTTGCTAACATAAACAAATGCCATGCTTCAACAACCAATCTGGGTCGATATACCTACACTACATCACCTCTACGTATCCCATTGTTGTACCACGTGATCTAGAATTAAATTTCAGACTATGTTAAAATCGTTAAGTACCACTAAAAATATCAAAAGAATATCAAAAGATGAGAAACAATTGCATTTCCGCTAAAAAGTGCTTAAACTTTATTTGGAGATAGTTGCATTTTTCTTACGGCTAATTTGGAGCGAAATCGTTTAATCAAAAAATCGCGTTGGTCAGTATTCCTAATATTTTTTTAATTCGTGACGTCACAGAATATTCGCTGATGTCACGAAAATGATTCTAACTTGTAGCTCACATTGTTTTGATAAACAGCGATTTATTTAATTCAATAACGCTAGGCTAGCATAAGTGATTAAAATTTATTAAAGAATATAAGTTTTTTAGAAAAGTGTTTTGATGTTAAATGTCGAATTTATATATGTATTTGACAATTCTTGAGTTTCTGAATGAATCTCTTGGTAAGTAGTTATTCTCGACATATTAAAAATTTAAATTTACGGCAGTTTTTTTTCCCTATTGATGTTGTAATTGATTAATATGTTATTTTTTCTGCATCATATTTGATTTGATAACCATAGTAGCTGGTAAGTTCCATTTGGAAAAAATACAATATTTCCATGCTTTCTTGCTTCAAAACGTATAAAAAGTCTTACCTTAATAGTAAAAATAAAACTTATTGAATCTGCATAAATATTAGATTTAGCTAGACACCATAATTATTCAACAAAATTCAACAACGTTTTTACCTGTTACAATACTGCCAGATACTTTGTTCCATATTTTCTGACGCATGCGTGAAAATAATTTTATTTTTTTAAATCTAAGTAACAATTGAGTATGTACTATGAGATTATTTAGATTTTTTGCTTAAGTATGATACTTCAAATAAGGCACTTTGCGTAAAACGTCATTTTTTAAAATCATCATTGTTACAGAAATATATAAAAATAATAACATACGAATGAAACACTACTGCCAGAGTACTGTATAAATATTATTAAATACTTTGTTTTTGAGAATGATTTTAGTACAACTCTATACTAAAGCGTATATTAACAGGAGCTCTGTTTTTAGATTTTGAAGGCAATAATAATTGATTTATTTTGAACAAAATTAAAAAAAAAAATAAAATGCGACAGTACTACGAAGTTTTGGCGAACTTTACTTTTAGGCTAAAAGAATAAAGAGATTTTGGAAAATATTAGTCAATTACAGAAATTATGATTTTCTTTTAGTTGTATTCTGGTTCCATATTGAGATAAATGCATGTTGAAAAGAGATATTTTTTAATAAATGAATACTCTAGGGGCAGATTTATCTGGCTTCTTTTTTAAACGAAACGTGTGTAAAAGAGAAAATAAGATGTCATATTGTGTTACAAAGAATGTTGACATATATTTTCGTTAAGAAAATTAAATTATTATTCTTAAGAAAACTGAATGAAGATTAAAAAGCAACTTATGCGATGATATTTGAAACTTAATTTTTACCAAAAATTCAATTAGTACATATGTTTTGCATTGTAACGACTTAAAAACAAAAGAAGTAATAGTATATTGTGTCTTCCAAAAAAGTGGTTTCAGATGAACTGTATATGAAATATCGCACTATGATGATGAACGACGTTTTTAAATTGTTTAGAAGAGTGATTATTGGGAAAGAAAACGTGGTTTTCATGTAGGTACTAATGTGTAAAATTTATTGTGATTGAGAAGGTACACAGTAGGTATTTTAACTGAATGCAAGCGTTTCGCTAGAGATAAATCAATTACTCAGAACATTATTTTGATAGAGTTCAGATTAACTAAGAAAAATTGTTAAATTGCTGAACTTATATTACCATTATAATCTTGCAAATTATAATACTTAGAAAATCTCACATTTCTTACTAGACATTCGGTAATTTACACATTTCCAACTAAGCACTCGTCAGTCTAAACTAAACACTTCCTTGTTGTTGTTTCTGATGTCACTTGCCAATACTAGCAAGACTGCTTAGTAAAACAAAGCGAATTTAAGGTGGAGGGTGCTTTACTTGTTTTTCAGTGGCTCCATCTATGGCCAAGAATACGACTTCAACCTCACACATGAGTCATGGCCCATTTTTAAAGGGTGAACCCATTCCTCCAGCCATTTATTCATTCACAAATCGTGATTTTGACCTGGACCAGAGAACCATCAATCTCCAATTCAGTACCCACAGAGGTATTGATTTGTTATGAGAACTTGGAGGACTTTGTGACCCAACAAGTTTCTCGAGTACCAGACACCATTTACTACTGAAAGATTCTTCGGCCGGCGGGGAACAAATTCACGACCTCTTAGACATGGGTTTAATATCCTATCAAGTAGGCAATCCCAGCCACGTGATTAAAGTTTAACGTGCATCAGTCATCATTTACTACACAGGGAATCTTCGATCGGTAGGGATCAAAATCATGACCTTTTGGATATGGGCCTAACACCTTACCAACCAGGCTATTTCGAATCGAATACTTACTTAAATTAACATAGATGTTGATTAGCTTCATTTAACTTGATTCTTTAAAAATCGAAAAATAAATTATTTATAAGTCGATATCTGAAGAATCAAGTTAATGAAGCTAACCAACATAAATAAATCACAAATAACGACACAAAAGTGGACCAGTGTTGGGTCTTTTAGAAATTATTCAGTGTTGTAACTTAAAATGTGTTGCAGTGTCGAAAATTCTTTCTTCTTCAATGACGAAGCGCAAAATGTATGGAGGAAAGTTCTTGCCTCCAGAAGGGAAACTATAGAACCACCATTTTGGTGAAATTATTTGTGCTTCATTCACGTAGGTTAGCTTCATTTATACGTATCATTAAGTATACCTGATCTACTTTTTAAATTAAGTTAAAACAATCCTCCACAATGTCAATGTCAAAGAATCGTGATGGGAAATGAAAGAAACGAACTTATGAGCTTCAACAATACAGAAGACTTTATGTGCACATAACCTAGGTAAAATTCGGAAAATCCTTGATTTAACACTTTTACGGATCACATTAATCTTGAAATTAATTAGGTGCGTTAACGATTTTCAAGCTTTACGAATAGCAGTATATAAGCAGTTCAAAAACGCAGACACTGACTTGCATATTTAACCTTTTTATAAAAATCAAAAAATATATTTGGACTCTTATAAAAAGTTTCAAATGTTTTTCGCATTCCTTTCTTGGTTAATGACTCCTTAATTTCAAAAACGGGTGTTTTTTAAATGCGACTATTTTAAACGGCTTCCTCTTTCATGATCCTAGCCATCATTTTGCATCCTAATTACAAAGTCTACATTTAAAAATTGTCTGGTGTTTAGTTACGGTATAAATCCTCCTTGAATCTTAATGTTTGAAACCTGTTTCTTAATCTAGAAGTTAAAATAATTTCGATATTCTTCAGAATAAAGGTGCCGCATCATTTCTTATGGCTGAGAAAAAAACTTCTGACGAATCACTTACCGATGAATCCACGGGAAAGGAATCTGAAGATCTTCAGCATGCAGATTCTATTACCGTGGCATCCCAAACAGAAGCAGGTCCTCCAACAGAACGTCAACCTTTTGGAGAGAAGTTTAAGCACTGGTATGCTGACAATTTTGATATTAATGTCGGCTACTTAAAAAGTGTGAGAGGAATACTAAATATATGCCAGGTGGTAAGTTCATAAATCATTTCTCTCTTTAAGGAATCGCGACACTAATTTATACTATATTAAACAACAAATTCACGCATTTCGTGCGTACGAAGTCTAGTTTCTTTCATGTTTAAAAAATCTTAACTGTTTCACATTAATAAATTAAAATCATTTTTCTTATCTTAATATAATTAAAAATTGCAATAATATTAAGAATTTAAATTCCCTGTAGTTTTATTAGATTTCATTAACTTAATTTAAAATGACTGTTTTCCTGAAAATGACCCACATATAACTGAAACATTAAAAGTTCAGCCTGTCATATGACTTGGTCAAGGATATCATATGACTCGGCCTTTTCAGTGCAATCGTGCTCAGAAAAGATATTCGATAGGAAACTAATTATTAGTTCATCAATTATTAGACATAGTGATTTTAAAAACAAATGGTATTAAATCTTAGGTTTATGAACTAGGTGTATAAACAGCTAAGCAACTTTATTTGCACTGCTTTTGTAAACACATTCTTGGATATGTTGTTGTTGTCGTCGTAGGCCATTAAGGCAATGGGTGTTTTTGTTTTCCAGTGGCGCCATCTACAGCCGAGAATTCAACTTCTGTCAGACCCATACGTCACACCTGTTTACAGGGCGGACCCATTCATGCATCAATTCATACATTCATAGATCATAATTTTGACAACGATGAATTAGACAACGATCAATCTCCAATTCAGTACCCCCAGAGGTATAATTTGTTATGGGGACATGGAGGTCTTTACAACCCGCCAGATTTAACTTGCACCAGTTACCATTTACTACACGAGTAGTCTTCGGCCGGCTGGATTCGAACTTACGTTCTGAGGAGCGTGAGTTCAGTCCCTGCCAACCAGGCTATCGCGGCCTCATACTTGGATATAAACCTGATATTTAAATTGCAGTTAGAATTGTGAAGTTACTGTTGTGTCAGGATTGAATTGTCACGGTGCTCCCTAGTAGTAATAAATAGAAGTATTGTTCTAATTCTGATCAAGCAAAAACCAGGTTATTCATTTTTTTCACAGTATTTATTAATAAAACAGTTCAAGTAGGTTTGTCTCTTAAATATCACTAAGGAGGTTTGTCCCCTTTAAAGAGGATCAAAAATTGTAATGGCATGCCTTCGGATCATCCTCAGGAATGTTTCCCAGACCGTCTCCAATAATCCATTATGCAGCTGTAGTGCGACGTAAATTAACTACAACTATAACAACTTAAATATCAAATGAAGCTAGTGGAGAGAGTCCCGGATTGTCTCACCGGTGTTTCAGATTTTTTTTTGTCACGTAGCAGTTGCCTTTTATCGAATATTGATAAATACGGTCGTCTGAATATGCTCATCTTCATAAAATTGGTCCAACTATTCTATTTGTACTCTATATGACAAATTATGGACAATAAACGTATTTCTGCATGCGCAACGCAAGCTGTTTTTCTTTGTAATGTTTAGAAGCATTGGGAAACTGGACTACAGCCTATGGCTTTGTGTTGAAATGCTTGAGATTCATGTAAATAAATATTAGTAAAAAATAAATAAGTAATCAATGATTTTTTGTAAGAGAGATTTTTTAAATTTTTTTTAATGATTTTTGTTTTATTTTATCTTTAATTGAAATAAGAATTCTTGAATAGGACTGATTTATCACCATCAATATAATTGACATTGACGCTCTCGCTCGTTTGATTCAGAAAAAGATAATTTGTTACATAAAAAAGAAGTAATTCCGATACTCAGTGCAGTAGTTGGAAAAAATATTTGGGGAAACTCAAATTCCTATAGGGTATATGTCATAGTTGACCGATTTTTTGTGGCTAAAAACAACCAGTTTAAATTAATTGAGCAGTTTTAATTAAAAAAAATAGTTATTTATTTTCGAAGAGGGGATTTGCTACCAATTTGCAATATTTTTATCTTTGGTGTGTTAGTCATTAAAGCTATTGATAAAATAATTGTGTAATATAATAAACTATATAAATTTTTATAAAATATTAGTGAGCACATAATTTGTCATTAGGACTTGAGAAGTACAATGCATTACTTATTTGTCTTGATAATTTGAAGGTAAAAAATATTTATCTACGCATATACACACAAAAAAAGACACAGATTTGCTTTGTTAGAGCTTAATAGTAAGAGAAGTTCACATCTGTAATAAGTTGTGTAAATTACTTAAAAATTATCTTTATTTAAATAAAAAGTAAGTGATCTCTATGAGCCCCTCCTTTTTATTGTTTGGCCATAATTATTTGCTCTTAGATTGGTTTTCTTGCTCACCAAATTATGAAATATGTAAAATAGAGTTATAAAGAAATATAATCTAATTTAATATTCAAAAATTTTCGAACCACATGAAATCAACTTAAAACAACTTTGTATAAAGACTTTGTTCTCCTTAAACATTGGTAAATTCAATTTAAGTATTTACGTTAATTACTTAGCTTTTCAGCTACGTCAAAGTTTTAAGCATTATGAATATTTCCAAAATGACATTTTTTTAATAGGTCTATTCTTATATTCTCATTGCGTCTGTTTACAGACGAGTTAAGAAATTGCGCCAATCAGATTTGAAAGCTCACTCGCGCTTTCGAATATGATTAGTACAATTGACACTTCTGTCAGAGGGAAATTTTCTTTTCAGCAGAAATTTTTGTTTCACTTCGTAAAAAAATAATAAAGGGGAAAGAAAGAATAAATGAAAAGGAAAAAAAAATATTTTTTTTTACTGCAGCAAACCAAATATTCCGGGGAATGGTGTTTCCCACGTTCCACCCCAATTACAGCATTGCTGACACTTTAAAAAGTTAGAACAAGAATGATAAAAATAGAAAAATTAGACAGCTTTAGAGCACTTAATACTCGATTTGTAAAAGCAGAGTTTCTATTAGATCTTGCTTGTGGTTGTTAAAATAATATCCTTTAAAGGTGTGCTTCCTATAAGTAAAAGTCTATACTTTAATATTTTTTAATAACTATAAATTAAGGAACCAAATGATATAACTTTAATATCTATGTCTCTGACGTGGAATAAGGTTTTATGTTAGTCAAAAGAAAAAGTGTAGTGTCGGTGAAATAATTTGAGTTTATTCTATCCTTCCAACAATTTAGAACAGCTATTTAGAAAATTGGGAGATATTCCCATGCAAGAAATATTCCCATATAAAACACACTTCGAGTTTGATCTCTTCTTTACATTTTTTAGTTTCCAGAGGTCCAATGCTCGGTTCTCGCCAAATTTTTGAAGCTGTTTTAAAGATACGGAAATTATTGCAGTTAACTAAAATAATATGATTTTTATAATTAAACTTGTCTTAAAATTTTTCTGAACTGTCAGTGGATTTTCTTCTAGTGAATCAGCACTATAGAAGAAAAAAAGTGCTGTTTTAATAGTGACATAAAACTAAATAGCATTTCCTTAAAATTACAAGTAGTGATAATTGTTCGGTTGTTGTGATAGTGATAGTAGTGATGAATGATAGTTATGATAATTGTCCATAATATGATTCTTTCTTATAATGTTATAATTAACGATAATATTATTCCTTTTATATCTATCCATCTATAATTAATTTTAGGTTCTAAGCCTGCTAGTGTGCTCTCTTTTGACTAATGTATGTCGACATACTACTACTGATGGAACCTCTTTTCCTGGATTCTATTGCAAATCAAGCGACACCTTTGCATTTGTAATTGGCTGCTCTGCCTTCATACAATCCATTATTTTTGTCATGTGTTGCTTCTTCTCAGAAAAATCAGCGAATGCGTTGTATAAAACTATTTACGTAAGTTGAAGAGATTAAATCTTGATCTAGATATACTCATTTACTTGCTTTAGCTCCTGTAATCAGATTTTGTATTATCCTGATTGGGATACTTTATTTTATTATTTTCTTGTTTAACCCCTTCAGGACCATGATTGCGAGATTCTCGTTTCTCGGTGAAGTGAGCCATTTTGACTCTAACGGCCTTAGAACGCATGGTCGTGATCTCAGTTCAGCACTCTCGTATTCGTTACGTATAGTATTATAGTACAATATGTACTATATTCTTCATTAGTATATCTAATCTCGGAGAGTGGGGGCCTGGAAAAGCACTTTTTCCTTTTGCCATCAGTCCTGAAGGGTTAACATAGTTAATAATCATATTTTGTATTAACATTAAAAAATTGTGAGGTGGAAGTTTTTAAATTGGATGGCTAAGAATAGGCTGTTAATTAATAGGGAATAATTTATAACTTAATAACCAGGGCCGAATAAAGTAATGAAGAACTGTTAATAAGCCATGTGATGGAAATATAAAGTTAACTGATTGTGCTTTGTAAGAATAAACTGTTAATGATTCTCTGGAAAATCATTTAAACTTAGTTAATTTATATTGGTATGGTCTATACCTGAAAATTCTCATTGATAAAAATCATGTTCAAATAACTAAGCTTGGTAAAAATCTGAGTAAAAAGGAATTGTTAACTATCTGGAAAATGATTTCAGATTTGCTAATTTGAGTGCGCGAGATACTGAGCAAAGAAAAAACTATTTATGATTCATAATGAGATGAAATAAATGAAATTAACTTGGCCGAGTAAAACAAAAACTGTCAGAAAAAGTTTTAAAAGTTAATAGACCTTACAGTTATAGTTTGTTGTTATAAAATTTATAAAGAAATCGCATTTCGAAATCAATATTTTCTAAAATGTTTTTGAAAATTGAACTGTACTTTAAGTGATGTTTCATTATGTTTTTATACCAGTTACTGTTTCCCCTACTTTAGGAGCTGACTTACTATGTTGCTTACTCGTTCCTTTTCTTAGTATCGAGTCTCAATTTATTGTCTAATGTCTATAGCAGAAACAGTACAAGATATGAGAATGAACGTGGTTATGGAACGATAAATGCTGCAGCGGTGAGTTTCGTTTTATGCATCAGTTGAATACTTTGAATCAATGAATAAAATAAAAAACAAACACTGTAAAAGTATTTTTTTTACTCGATCTTCCAAAATCTCAAAATCTTTTAACCTTAAACTAGGCAAATAAATAATAAAAATCTAACACAATGGAGTGTACTCCTTCATGCGGATGATCTTGTCCCAGATCTTCCAAGATCTGTAGCCGTTGCAAGGTTTAGACTTTTGACAGGGCATGATTGCTTGTTTGCCTACTTAATTCGATTTAATTTTATAGATTCTTCCTTGTGTTATTTACGTGACTCTGGTAAATTTTCCATGGTTAACACTTTAAAAAGTGCAAAGCACTCAGAAATTTTAATGATCTGTCTCAAAAGTAAGCTAATGGTATGATAAAGCAAATGGTATGAAAGCTAATGGTATGAAAGCTAATGGTATGAAAGCTAATGGTATGATAGTCAAAGCTTGGCATTTGCCAACAACAAATCTAACAATTTTAAAGAAAGGAGCTCGATAATAATAAGAATCTAATGAGTTGAATAATTTCTAAAATGCATCAAATTTTTTAAAGAAAATTTGATGCATTTTAGAAATTCTTGAATTGAATTTGAATTTTTACTTTTCCGGGATGATTTAACCTATTTTAGTTAAGTTTTAGATTATTTTTTGTTTAAAAATTATATAATTTGTTTGAGATCAAGATAGAGATGAAGAGGATGTCGAAATTATATATTTGATAATGCTCAACTCTTCCAACAATTATTAAATTAAATATTGTTAGGTGTGCCATAAAACGACCGAAAAGTTAAAATATCAATTAAGAAAAATCACTCAATTAAGATGATATATAATTATTCAGCTTTTTCGCTCTTCTCCAGAATCACCAGAAAATTGATTTTTGCCAAGTACCGAAATTAGTTGCAAAGTTTATCAATAAAGGGCGCTGCTAACTGAAAAAAAATTATGAGACGAAGTTTTTAAAATAACTAACATTTGAAACAACAGTGTGATGCAGTCTGAAGAAAAAATTAACAGATGTCAGTGCAAATGTTTCAGTTGGAATGGCAACGGAAAACAAACATTTGTTTCATAATTTCTCAGAAAATATCATTTAGATATTGGTAGTGACATCTGTTGACATGTTTAGTTACTAATTCTGAAATATGGGGATAACAAGTCCACTCGTTTTCTTACCAGAACAGAGTAAATGATAAATTTCTTTCTTCTTTTGCTCTTTTTAAAATAATTTTTCAAATCGTGTATCATTCTTTAGGTTATTGGGCAAAGATATGTTAATATACGCTATTAAATTAAAGACCTATAGGAAAACTCGCAAAACTATATTTTTCAGTTAGTGGATTCCCATATCTTAGGGGGGGGGGATCGAGAATCCACTTTCTTCGATAAAGATGTATAAATGTATTGAGAGAAAGTACGTTTTTGTGCCTGATTGCGTAATTATTTTAGTCATTTGACAATGGTAATCTACTCAAATAATAAAAATTATAAAAATATGAATGTAGTTAAAACTCTGATAATTTAGTCAAAAATTGTTTAAGGTGTAATGTTTTATATTTTACTCACTCTATATAGTTGAAGAACTTGACATTTGATTTGCCATTTTGCTAAAATTGAAAAGAAATTCAACTTTAGAATATGCATGAGCATTAAGAATTTGTCTGCAGACTATCCTCTCTATTAAAAACCGCCTTGCTAAATTCTAGTACTCTGAATAATAAATATGATGTTCTCTCTCTCTATTTGCAGTCCAAATTCTAACATGTTCAAGTTTGAATGTTTTCAAAATATCTTTAACGTTTTCTTCCATTAATGTATGAACAATATTTAATTTCTTCTTGGTTAATGGGATTTTATGCTTTATTTGTGACAAATGTAGAAATTTTTTTAAATGCACGCACAATTTTAATTCTATTCTAAGGGCTTTATTTCGAATTGTTAAAAATTAGAAATCACCATGTTTACAAACATAAACGAACAATGCTAACGACCACATAGAAAATGAAATTTTCTAAAGATTTTTCTAGCTGAATTCTTAAAAAACTTACTTAAAATAGCAAATATTTAATTGAAGCTATGGATTCGTAAGCAATTTAGTGTTTGTGTTTTATTTTTTAATATATTTCCTTTTTTGTCAATTAAGTTATATAAAGTTATACATCGTTGAAAACAGATACGATAGGGAAATATTCCCTATTGTAAATCGAATATATTATTTTACGAAATTGAAAAATCGATATTTATATTAAATCTTGCTCTTTTATTATTTGCTATGCTTACATAATATTTTATTTCATTTATAAGAGACAGGTACTGCACGTTTAGCATTGTCGCCAACAACTGATTTACACTTTGTGTTTCAAAGGAAATTTCAATTTCAAATATATGAGTATATTTTAAAATTTTTTTCTCGCAAAATTAGATACACTACAAGTTATCCTTTTGTTTGAAGTACCGGTACTTCTTATATGATTTTTTTCAATCATTTTTTTACACATAAAATACTTAGATTTTTTATAGTAATAATATTTCTGAAACAGGGTACTACACTATTAGAAATTGCTCATTATATTCATTTATTTAATTAATATTTTATCATACGCAAACAAAACTGTCAAATAACTAAGATGGTATTCAAACTGTCAAGTGTGAGAAATACCATTTATTAAGCTTTCACCAAATACGGAACAAACAGAATTTTATCGCACTAATTAAAACCTATTTAATGAAGCTATTTAGTTCCTAGCAGCTGGATACAAATTATAGCCGAGAGGGTTATTTTATGAGCCTCATGACCGACAGATCGTGGTTCGAATCCCAGCGTTCACATCACAGTATTTTCTTTATTCCCTTCATCACATGAATAGTTTCTCCAGGGGAATGTCCTGCACTCCCCAATTTCTGACCCTGAGTTATTGAAATACAATACTCTCCTCCACGCATAGATCGCTATTACATAAAGCTGCTTAACACAAAAAAAGCCTATTATTTTATTTATTTACAACAGATTCAAAGTCCGACCGATTCATGGTTTTTTAACCATTCTAGTTGTAAACAGTTTCAAAACCGTAGAGGTAAAAATGTTCTTTCCGTAAACTTTACGGTTAATTGGATGGACCAATTGCTACCTGCTATTTTACCATAATTTTAGATTGAAAACTATAACAGTGTACTAAATTCTTGCTTTATTATAGGTCCTTGGTCTTCTGGCTTGCGTGTCGTATGGAATGAGTGCTCTCTGCTTTTTAGGGTATCACAAGATCTCTCAGCGACCTGAAAGCTATAATGTCTAGTGTTCTTTTGAAAATTGAAAAAAAAAATATTTTTCGGTTTTATTCTAAGTCATTATACAAAATTTCATTAATTGTGATAATAAGTATTATGTTAAGTCACTGAAATAAATGGGACTAGTTATTTATTTTGTCATTATATTTTATTATTTATATGCAGGATGTTCCATTGTCAAGGACCTTAATATATGTTTTTAGAATTCTTCCCAAAAAATTTAATTTAAAGAGTGTTTTCCTTTTGGACTTAGTTAAAGTTTTTATTAAAGCATTTTGTGGGAACTACACTATACGTTTGACTATTAATAATTTTTTTTGTGTACGAATTCTGCCATTAACATTTGATTTTTTTGAAAGTAAGTAAAATTGGTCTAATTTACAGAACGGCACTGACCTTGTTGTCAATTGTTGAATAATATATATTTCTGTTAACTTAGTTTATTGAATTTCGATGTTTATGCTATTATAACTTAGTTTTTGAGTAGCCTGTGTAAGCTGCATTAAATAAAGTTAATAATAAGCGGAAAAGTAAATAATCTTTATTGGTTACTTTAAAAATTCATATATTTACTAAGAGCATCAAAATTTTTACATCTTATGAGTAAGACGTCAATCGGGCTGTTACATACCTTTTGGACAGGACTAATCTACAATACTGAGACTGGCCCAAGGTATGAAAAACGTACACTTTTTGGACTTTATTAAGGTTAACACAAGAAAATTATTGTTCCTAAAGAATTGGTATATTATCCAAAAGTAAATGATATTTTTCTGCTTATTTATTTCCTGACTGTTTTCAATAGTACGTTCTATGGGGTTTAATTTTTTAATCTAAGTGTGAGAAAAATTATTCAGTAGTTAGGAAAAAAAATCGTTTTTAGCGCATGCCTAGAAAACGTGAAATAGCCACTAAAACCTGTAGTGCCTGTTGTTGCGATTATCAACTTCATATACAGAATGCAGAAATTATCCATTAACTTAAGCTAATATTTGCATGATCTAAAGTGCAGCATTTTCCCCTAATTATTAGAGGACGCAAAGTAATAGTTAAGTGGGAAAAAAAAACGCTATCAAACTCTAGTAATTCTTAACTGAGGAAAGTGGAGCTGATAATATTAAAACCTATTTCAGTGATGGAGCATGCTAGAAGATGTTTCAAATAACTGTCCATGGATCTTCCTGCAGCCTAACTGGTTTTATTGTTTTCAGTCCGGCTTTTCTCAGTACTGGTTTCTTCGATTTCATTTCTCGCTTCAATAATTATTTTCAATCCTTTATATGAATAATTTTTTTACTTCAATTGTGACATGGATTTAAAATATACATGCTAAGGGTGGTCATTATGGAACACCCTGTTGCAGTTATTTAATCTGTTTTTGAAAGAAAGACTGAGTATTTTGTTTATGCAATATTTTGATGCTAAATCGCGTTATGAAATTTATAATCCCCCCCAGAATATTTATTTATAGCTAATTCGGGCGAAGAAACTTGTATTAAAAACCTGTTGTTTTTACACTGATATAATGATTTGTTTTCTTATACTTTATGCTTACATAACTTCTACAGCTTCTTGAATTTTCATCCGATTCTTTTTTTAATTTTTAACACCATAAAAATTATTTCTTTAGTTTTTATTGCACAGTACGGAAAAAAATGAATCACCCTGAAAAACTTTTGATCGGAATTTTACGCGCTAGGATTCTATCTTAATGATTCGAATGGTGACTTCAAATATGCTAATTAGTTAGTGCAGATGTTATTTTAAGTTATGAAATCAGACTACGAAACGTAATACGAAACAGACTACGAGTCTATAATGATCAGTTAAAACTATTGCAGACAAGAGATGAAAAAGTAAATAAAGTTGACTAAGATAGATACTGATACAAAATTCCTGCTGACAATGAGTGATCGTTGTTCGGAAATCGCCATTCAATGGTTCCCTGTAATGTAAAATCTATGAAGAAGGTGTTCGGTACCATAAATATAGGGTTTTCTTGCAGGTTTCTGCTTTTTAAAGGCGGACGTTTACGGAGGGGAACAGTATTTTGAGGATAAAGAAACCTAATTCGTTAAAAAAGAGGTAAGTTTATTAAGAAACAGTACGTTTTTAACCCTGATTTCGTAACTTAAAATATTGCCTACACTAACTAATTAGCATATTTGAGGTCACCCATGTGAACCAATAGGTCCTAGTACGTAAAAATCTAATCTTTAGATCAAAAATTACTCAGGGTGATTCGTTTTCTTTTGCACACAGTATAATATATTTTATTTAAAACACATTTGTAATAAGATGATAGCATAATAAGCACTAAAATGTCAGGTATTATTGATTAATCAATTAAAATTGTGACAGCATTAAGTACATCAAATGAAAATTGCTAAAAGCATTAAGCGTATAAATATTTAACGGAACGACACTAAATATTTGCGAAAATTATTCCACCATATATGAGATAAATCTTAATCATGTACATAGAATTCAGTTCATATTTTTAAGAAAATCGATCGAATGGTTGGCCTGTTAAATTATGTAAACATACTTTTTACAGTATTGATAGCCAAATAATAAAATTAAAATGGCTGATTTTTGATAACTCGACTATTAAGCAATCTTAAATCATCTGCATCGCGTAATTTTGCCACAAACTTCATAAGGCGTTAAATTGAAGCGAATTTTCATGCAAGTTGAAGCATAATTTCTGGCATCCAAGTTTAAGAGGGGTAAAATTTCACGATATCATATTTCAACTTGGCATCATTTGATCTGTGACAAAAATCTGATACTTTTTTATTTAATATGATCCAAAATTTCGAATAGTCTTATAAGAATTTCTAATAGTGTATATTTTTGTACTTTGATGATTTATGTAAAGAGTGTCAAATCAGTTAAACTCACCGATTTTTTTTTTAAATAACAGGGAAATTGATAGGAATAAAATTTGGAACAAATATTGTAGATTTACTTTGAAAGGTGACATGTTTCAAAAATATTTTTAAAGTCTGCAACAGCTAGTGGCATTTACTGCAGTTGTTTTTCAAAAGAGTAATGTCGATTGAATATAAAAGTTTATTCGAGTTTCTATAAAAAGCTAGAAGCAATCACAGTTCCTTAAAAAATCACAAAACGGAAGCATATTTTCTACCTTTTTTAAGTTGAGCATTTGATCTATGAAATGTGTACATCCAGTACTATTTACACAATGTTGTTTCAGTTCTGTTACAGAAAATGATTATTTCGAATAAATTTCTGTGCGCTTACAATACCCGCTTGAAAAGCTTTGTTTAGCAATGACAGTGTTCAATACCGATACATAATAGAAGTGAAAGACTTTGCACCTCGCTATAGTTGTTGCTCAGACTATTTAAAAGGTGAACTAATAAGCGTATAAGCAAATTTCAATATAGGAAGGCAAGAGAAATTAAAGTGGTACTAACTACTCTCTTTGAATAGAAAATTTACTTTCTTGTCAATCACTAGATGTTAATAAATATAAAGATTAATACAAGAAAATTTGTTTAAGGGGAATTTTAAGAAAAAAATTGACTTACTGACAAGCTTATTTACTCTTAACTAATCAGAGATGCCAACCTGCTCCGGACAGCAAATATATATTTTAAAGTGGTAGTTTATCGATTGTAATTCTTTGCTAAATAAATTCTATTTGGGAGATTTTTATCTAACACTATTTCTAAATAATTCGTAGGTTTATATAATTCACCATCTCTGAGTAATTTTGTCATGCTATCCCTCTTCTATGCAAGCAAAAATAGTCAAATATTTGCAAAATTTACTTTTATTTTGACGTGTCCGGAGCAGTTGGCATCTCTGGTAATTGAGCAGTTTACCTGAGGTGTTGAGGCTTTCAATTCTACGAAGTGATAAATATTAGTTAGGTCAAAATAAATAAATGACTCCTTACTTTGTGATTAGAAATTCTTTTAATAGACATTACAGATAAAATAAGGCAAAGCAGATCAAACAATTTCCTGTCTCCCGCTTTGCCTTATAAGTACAGCTGTTTGTATCTCTATGCACATCGACATCGATAATCCAGCTGTTATTGCACAAAACTATATGCTTGCATGTACATTAAAATGAAATCCAGCAATAAATTAAATCATTGGAAAGCTTTTGAACGCCAGACGTAAAACAAAAGAAAACACAAAAGAGGAAATAAATTAATGACACATGACATAACAGCGCTTAGATATTTTACTTCGTGTCATTTTTATGTCAAAGTCAACACGAAGTTCATCGTAATGTACGTGGTTTTGACTATGTTCATGAAGTTCCAGGCTGCAACTCTGGATTAAAAAGCTTATAGGAATTGAAGAAGCACCCAGACTTGGAGTTCTAACAACCGTTGATGAAAAAAGAAACTTCCCGAACGAAGCCTAAAAGAATTAAAAAAAAAACGAAAATACTCGTAGTTCCTTGAATAAACATCAAACTTTCAGTTAATGTTTGTCGTCATTCTTCACTCAAACCAAATAATCATAACTGCAGTGCTGCGGTTGGCATTTGAATTTTCTTGCTGTTGGTAGTAGTCCTACTCACTAAAGAACATTGAGCATCGGATTCAGCTGTGAAAATTTTAGAAAAATTAAAAGTACACAAAAGACGAGCGATGGTTGAATGATATAAAAAGGAAACTTAATCAATCTATTTTGTCGATATTTACACATTAGCAATGGCCTTTCCTACGATATTTCAACTCCCGGAGGACTATATCATCGATTTAAATGACATCCAGTGCCTTATTTACAGGAGATCGTTTGGTACGCCTTACACGCCATTTTGTGTTTCAGTTTTTTTTATTGTTTTCAGATTAATTTGTAAATGATTCACATAAGCGGTTTATCTTGCTTACAAGTGAATCTTAACTCAGTTTAGTTAATTTTTTTTTAACTCCTAAATCACTTACTGATCTTTACAAGATTTTCTGGACTGAAAAGCATTAAAATTAATAATTATAATTTGGTCAATAATATCCTAACAAAAAAAATAATGTATACCATTTTTGAGATCTTTTTTGACGGTAAATCCAATACTTAAAAATACAAAAATTGAAAAAGAAATGAGAATTTTATTAATGTTTTCTAATAATTACCGTTTTTATAACGGAAATCTTTAGCATTATTGTTCTTATATCTAGCTATTTGTGTTCATATTACTTTGAAATGGATTCAAAAGATTGCTAATTTGGGTTATTAATATCAATTAATTAGTAAAAGATCTAATATTTTGGCCGAAAATTCAAGCCAGTTACTTGTACGGATCAGTAATGCCACTACAGCGTTTTCCATGCAGAAAAACTGCACGAACTTGTACGCTTACTTTTAATCATATAATTATTTTAAAAATTGCAGATACTGCATACCAGAAAAATAAAGCCGTGAAGTTAAAGCTGTTAAAGTTGACAGTTCCATCAAGGTTGAACACTTGGTTTTTTTTTCTCCCACTATTGGTGCATTCATGTTTCTGATCTACACAAGTAATGGTCCTATGAATGCATTATTTTATGTTTCCAACCTAGCAAACGATTGATATTTAAATTAATTATAGTTTTTGCATAGAACTTAGTTTAGTTATCAACCGTAATGATTTCAAGTAATCCTGATATGATTGCCAATTAAAACGTTTCACATTCGCTTTCAGCTTGCATAGTTTCAGATGTTGTATAGTAATTATCAAAATAGATAGCGTTTAACTAAGAAACGGAATTGAGAAAAAAAATGCACTTGGTTGGTTGAAATATTGCATATATTAAGATATTCTTCTAGAACTGTGACTAAATATTGGGCAGATATTAGAACTTTTATTCCACATTGGATTTTATTGAATCCAATTCCATTAAAAACTTTTTAAGATAACACAAAATTTAAATTAAATAAATAAAGGAACCTAAGATATCCATAGAAGTGACATCTTTAGTTAATACATTAACAGAAATTTGTCATAGCATTCAAAAGACAAACACATAGATTATACGTGAATACAACAACATCATTGCGATCGTTTTATTATTTTTTTAAACTTTTGTTTGGATTTTTCTTTCTTCTTTGCACTTAAATGGTAGATATATATATATTTTTCACTGTGTCCATAAATCTGTAATATGAGAGCATAGTGGGTAGGAGTTCGAATGTTTCTTGTCATGAAGATTTTCTGTAAGTATTAAAAGACTTATTTCATTTTTAGTTAGGCAGAAAATGGCGGATTTGCAAAGCCTTTGTGGAACAGTTCGGTCGTTTGCAAAATCCGCCTAATTGGAGACTTCCAATCCACAACGGAATATTTTTTTTCGAGGAAGAATAACACTGCTTTCTTCCCCACCATACACTTTGGTGCCGAGAGTTATTCGCGGCTCCTAGAATCTAAATTTTCCAGATAAATACATATATTTATATATAATACACAACGTCCACAAAATGAAAAACAGATTTAAACAAATAATATTCGACAGGGTATTCGTAATGACGCAATCGCATCTATGCGACATGTACCGTCATTCCAAGAATGCGCAACGATCAAATCTATTTGGATTAAACGTACAAATAGTTAGATATCGTTCTTTAACCTTTCAAACTTCCCACAAAAAATCACATCACAAGTTTGGGGCTCAAAACATGTGACAGAGACTTTTTGTATAAACTTTTCTATCTCAAAACCTGTTGCCCTCTTATAGAATCTTTTTGTGCTCGCTACCAAGCGCCATTCCATGCTCTATTACCTTATCTGTTAGGTTTTGGGGAAACATTCATATATAAATGCAATTATGACTTAGTATTAAATTCGCGAAAATAAAGCAAGGAAAGGATTTAGTCTTTCATTTCCAAAACAAAAGCCTCAGTACGCTACAACAATTTGTGATAGCATAAGATGCTGCAACTGCGTTTAAATGTTCTTGGGGAGTGATTTACAGTTGTAAAACAAGTACCACAAATTTGGTATATCCCCAAATTTATTGGCTTTAAGAGTGGAATCACAAAGCATCACTATTTCATTTCCATAATAAACAAACGAGAACTTATTTTTTGGTTAATTTTCAAACGGAAAATTGTGCTTCAGACAATAATGGTCGAGATTACGTGTATAAAACTCTCAAATGCACGGGGTGAGAAATTCTGAGGCGAAAAATACACACCTGTGCAACAACAGAATACACCAAAAGGCAATTTTTTTCCCGAAAGGAAGCGGAACAGTTCCTGTTTAGTTAAGGAACTTAAAGATCGTTGGCGAAGAAAAAGCCGAGGGAAATCATTTGTGTTTAGAATTTACTTCTGGCAGTAGTACTGCGGAAGTCGCGGCCATTTTCCCGGAGTGGAACTAAAAACAAAAGGTCCTGTATTTGGAATCGGACAGGGGGGCGTACAATATAAAAGAGGAGGAGGACTGGAGTGTAAGACAAGCAATAGTAAAGGGACTGAGCAAAACAAAGGAAGTGTTCAGTAGAGACCGCATCCTCTGAGGTTGTTGGCGATGATGACATCGGTGACCGCGTCGAAGACAAATTGAATATTGGTAGTGTCTGTGGCGCAGGTCATATGGCAGTAGATTTCCTTGGTGGTGGATTTGTTCTTTGCCTCAAATTGAGCCTGTATGTAGGCGGCTGCTTCACCGTAATCCTGAGCACCTAAGCAGGAATGAAACACAATGTTAACAGGATGCATGTTTATAAATACTTATTTACATGATCAGCCTAAAGGATTCAAAGGACAGCTTATTTACATGATCAGCCTAAAGAATTCAAAGGACAGCTTATTTACATGATCAGCCTAAAGGATTTAAAGGACTGCTTACTTACAAGTATAACGTGCATATGTTTTAATAGCTTTTGATTCAATGAACGGATTTTCACGTGCTTAAACTTATGATTCGAAGGCGTAACTTTAAATATGCTAATTAATTAGTGTAGTCGATATGTTACTGCGAACGACCAAATTTGGTGGTTGTTGACTTTCACCCGTGAATGTTGACAATCACATAGTCGCTTTGGTAAATGTCCGAAATATATATTAGGTCTAGTTTAGGGCCACTGCCCGGTATATATTTGCCCAGATGCCCTACATCAATGTTTCTTAAAGGTCAAGTGCCACTGCCCAGTATGCATTTAACCAGTACTCCGAACGCTGATGTTTCTCCTATTCCATCCTCAGTAGATATTAAAATATCATATCGAATAAATATAATAATATCAATGAATAATTTAATTTTCAAACCGGGATATAACAAATATTTCGGACATTCACCAAAGCGACTGTGTGATTGTTGACATCCACAGGTGAAAGTGGACATTCTCTTGATTTCGACCATTCACGGTGGCAGATATATTAAGTGACGAAATCTGATACAAATATGTATTTTTCCTGAACAAACAATTTTTTTTTATTCGGAGAAGTGACAGAAATAAACTCTTGACCCTCAAAAAGTAGGGGTTGATAAGAGTGATCAAGGACTCACACTTTAAGCATTTGCAAAATTCACCAGAAAGTTGGAGAGTATATGTATCTTTCTACGTATCATCCAACTATGTTCTTCGTATACGTGTAAAAAACTGTCCTTTGAAACCTAATGAATTATTTAGACTCACTTTGTATTTGTTAAGTCCATAATTACTGCAATAGTTTAAGTGGAATAAATATTAATCACAATAAAATCACCAAAACAGTATGATCAAAATAATATCGAAATAAGCTATCAATTTTTATGGAACATATTTACAGTTCAAATTCAATTCATAGTTTGCATAGGATTCGAGATTTCTAAAAGTTTTTTTTTCCCGTCATTTCATTACCGTAACCTGATTTTTAATGAGTGCTTCTGCCCTTATTTTACTATACACTTTACGTAACGGTTTTGTTTGCAGTTATTGTGTTTACCATCACGCATTTATCTTGGTAAACGGGAAAACACAATTGTCTTTGATAAATTGAAAGATTATTTAAGATTACTAATTCAAAATCATCAAATCTAGTTTAATAAGGAGTTGTTTCTGAAAATTACTTTTCAACGCCCCTAAATTTTCTCTAGCAATCAAACAAATTTCGACACTTTTAATTTTGCTCTCTTCTTCGTTAAGGGAATGGGTTAATTTTTAAAAAAAATTATTTGTTTAATGACGTGCCATATTTATATGCAGGGAAAAATAGATTATAATTCGGTTGTACGCATACTTTGTTTGTTTAAACAAAGTTTAAACTTTGCATAATTTCTTACAAACTAATGGGTGAATGTGAATACAGACAATTTTAAAGGCATTNCTTTTAATTTTGCTCTCTTCTTCGTTAAGGGAATGGGTTAATTTTTAAAAAAAATTTATTTGTTTAATGACGTGCCATATTTGTATGCAGGGAAAAATAGATTATAATTCGGTTGTACGCATACTTTGTTTGTTTAAACAAAGTTTAAACTTTGCATAATTTCTTACAAACTAATGGGTGAATGTGAATACAGACAATTTTAAAGGCATTCTTTTTTATTTTTAAATGTAACCCTCTTTTAGGATGAATTGCATTTAAAAACTACATTCACTAGTCATAATGATCATATGCTACAACTTGGAGCTATGGTGGCTCAGGGGATAGAGCGCTCACCTGACCTGGGTTCGAATCCCAGCGATGACTAATTGATACGAATTGACCACTGTTCTGACAAAAATATCCTCAGTGGTAGACGAATCATGAGTTAGAGTTCCCTTGCCATCAGGCTAACCGTGGGGTCTTTTGCGGTTTTCCACACCATATAATGCAATTGCGTGATAGTTTCATAAATAAGTCCTCCACGAAGTCAAATTTCTCCCTACTCTTTATTTAGGAGTTGTCTTGTCTTTTGGATTGGGTTCAAAATTACAAGGCTACGGAGCTGAATATTGGTAGTCTTAAATTCAAAATTGGGTCAGTTCTTCAACGGTTATAAAATAAAAATTTGCTAAATTACTGTCGCTTTCCATTTTGGTAGCTTGATATTTATACATTTTTACCAATGGCATATATAATTTTTAATTCAATTATTGCATAGAAATTTAAACTAAAGAGTAATATTCATAATCTATAATCAAAATGAAGAATAATATAATATAAAATTGATACTTGTTGAATACAAAACCAAGTGCATGAAGAAAACCAGTTTTGGCACTAAAATTTATTGAAGTCAGAATATATTCTAAACAAGTAAAGTAAATGTAACTCGTACCTAACCAATCAGCTTGTGGTAATCGGAAAATGAACTTTGTGATAACTAGCAGTTGGGACTAAATGCTCTGACCTTTTAAGTTGAATTTTTATGGATGAGAAATGGGAAAGTGTAGGCATTTGGCTAGAGTGGACATCGAGAATAACTTTTTAATTCATTGATCAAATTTCCTCTATGAAATATCGTAGATTAACAGTAAACTTCCATGTGCAGTTGCATAATCACGGTGGGAATACTCTGGTAAAAATTTATGAAAAAAAGGTTTTCAAGGTGCAAAAGTAATTTTCAAATTTTTTCTTTATTTCTCGATTAATACATTTTATTTCCGAAATTTCAGCAAAAGATGACAATAAGTAATAAATGATACTGTTTTTACTCGTTTTGAGGTTAACTTTTGCTTTGTATAGTTTCAATTAACTACCATTTGTGGGGCTAGTGTATACATGTGGTTGTGACATTTCCACACTGGCCTATTAAACGGTAGAACTACTAGGACTGCATCTCCATATACAATTAAAGTAGACGCTTCAAATTTTTTGGATAAACAAATTTTTTTGATAAGCAAATTAAATAATAAATGACTACTTAATAAGTTATCAAGTTTGTCCACACTAGTCCTGTAGATTGTCAATTCTAGGCCCATGTATTGAGACAAGTGGGAATTAAAAAAAAACTTTTTTTAAAAATTGTCACGAAAAAGCTCACAAGGGAAACTAGGGAAGAAAGTGACTCGCCAATTTTGAAATAAACTAGTGGGATGTATGCCTTATGAGGAATAATTTTAGGGGGCAACATTCGTTTCGGCCCATAGAAGGTCCTATGAGAGATAAAAAATAATTCAATATATACAAAAATCGGTATTTTATTACTTCAATGCTGACTATTAGTTATTGTAATTGTCTCATA